AGCATTCTTCACCACTGGCTGCTGGGAGTTGCAGTCCAACAACACCTTGGTTTGGGCAAATTAGATTGGAGTCAGAAGCAAATTGGCCAGCCAAATAGAGCATATCTTACCCACGAGGATCAGCAGGATTCCTCCCAGTTGAGACCGCCGGTATTTGGCAGCTCCGGGTTCATGACCAAGCCGAATGCAAGGCAGAACAGTCACCAGAAGGAAAACAGCGGGAAGTCCCAAAACGGAGGCTGCAATCATCAGTGCCCGGCATGCCTGGACATATCCTGTGAACAGGAAAAAGAAATTAGGACTACCTCCTAAAGCAGCCTCTCTCAACCTGGCACCCTGCTAATGGGCTAGACTTCAACACCCATAATTTCCAGCCAATAAAGTCCCATGAATTCTGTTGGGATGATGGGCACTATAACGCTATCCATCTGGAACATGCTAGGTTGAGAGAAATGGTCCTATAAGATTATTGGCAAAGGAATTTCTTCTTTAATACAAATTAAGTGAATTCTAATGCAGGTATAAATCCAAATGCTGTAGGTAGGATGAACTGGGTGGTTTTTCAAAAACCAGAAGTTCAAAGCAGAATTCATCAATCCAGTGATCTAGTCCTGCAACCTACTTGCCCAACTGAATGCATTTGAAAACCTGAAGCAGGACTTCAGATCAAAAGCACTCATTTCTGCCCTCATGTGAAGAACTAGAATTCAGTGGCATGTTTATTCTGAATATAGATATTCTGGCTATCACCACCACTAATAACCATGATGGGACTACCCCGCTTCATAACAAGTTCAAGACAACGCCTAGCTTTCTTGGGTGCAGTAGTGGGTATTGGCTTCCACCTCAGAGGTGTAGTGAATCTGCTTTGGTTTTCAGTCCAAAATTTCAAAGATCTATCCAGGGTGCTGAAACTTACCCCCCCCCATCCCCAAGTTTCAGCACCTAGGCCAGATCCTTAAAAGTTCAGACTTGAACACAAAGAAGATTCACTGCCACACTAACATAGAAGTTTACAGCTGCCACTTGTAAGGGGACAGAGCCCATCACAAAAGCTGCCTGTTCATCTATGGGTTACATTTTTCGAACACAATAATCTTGCTCCCTTGTCATTCTGGCCACTGGCTAGAAAGCAAAAAACACTAGCTAGGACATTTGTCCCTGTTGTTGTTCCTGGTTGGTTGGCAGCAGCTCACTAGTTCTAGGCACTGGGTGTCTATTGTTAGAACAATGAAATGGCCCTATGAATAGATATGAAAGGCCCAGTGTAATGTAGAGGTTACAATGTTGGATTTAGACTAAGGAGATCTGGGTTTGAATCCCCAGTCAGTCTGGAAGCTCACTGGGTGAACTTGAGCCAGTTCCTGTCTCTAGCCTACCTCATAGGACTGTTCTGATGATTAAATGATGTTCAGCTTGTGTATTTTGATACTTCTTGCTGTATTTTTAAAATACCTTCTGACAGTACATTGCAATACCTTCATGTGTTTTATTTTGAACTTTAGATTGTAAGGCAGAAGGCAGGGAAATATCAAATTAACAAATACTCTGAATAAATAAGTAAACCATCTTGGATACATGTTTGAAACCTGGAAAAGTGGACAAGGAGGGACTATATAATTATATTCCATCTTTCTTCTTGTTCAGGATCCTGAGATGTAAATGCACAAGACAAAGAAATAGAAACATAGAATGAAAACAGCTTTTTGATGTTTCCCATAGTTCAAGGGCAGGCAACTGTGATGGGCTGAGGGGCTAATTTTTCATACCCTTCAACATCTCACAGATAAAAAGAAACAGAGCATGTGTGGTCAAACAACATCTGAGTGTGGTCAAGAGGGCAAGAGTTATTCATGAGGAAGATCACAATATCAGGAGGCTGCAATTGCTTGCTTTTGCCTGAGCCTACAGGGAAGCACAAGATTCTGCCCTCTTCTCTCCTCTTCCCCAGCTGAGTTAATTATATGCAAACTACTTTTATATTTTGAATTCAATTTGCATCAACTGAAGTAAGCTGAGGACAAAGGGGAAAGTGGGAGGAAGAGAGAGAAACTGAGACATTATAAAGGCAGCTGAAAAAATGGATGATATAGGATTAATCAGAACTGTCCCTGCCAAATCAAACCATTGGAGGGGATGATTTTTCACCCATGCAGACCACAGCAGGTTGCAGTGCTTGAAAATCACCCCAAATCTGACCAGTGATTGACCAGAAGTCACTTGCTGTTTAGATTTCCAAAATTAGTGCTTTTGAGAATGGGGAGGGATTCAGAAGGGAAAATTCTGCTCTGGAAGGGCTCTGGGAGCAGCCATTCCACATTTTGGGGTGATATGGGGGTGATTCTCACTAATGTCCAAAAGTGTAAGAAGATTGTGAGGACTGGATAGGACCTAGGCAAAGCTGGAGATTAAAAAAAACATCCTGTTGTGGGGAAGTCTCACATGTCTTTGAGGTTTGGACATAAAATCTGCTCCTTGTGGACAAAGGAGTTCCTTCTCTCTATGGAGAGCCTCTGATCATCTGAATCATTTCCACTGGTGGAATATGAAGGAGGGTTCAAGTTCTTTTGTAGTCAACTGTGCTCCTCAAAATTCTTATCCAGAAGATTGGAGGAACCTCTGAAACAGCATGGAAAGTGATGCTGGGGACTGCACCTAGGCCAGATTAAGGAGGTGGCAGCCTTAGAGCAGATCCAAAAATGGGGAGGAACTATTCCAGGAAGGGTGACATAGAAATTAAATAGGCAAATATAAAGTGCAAAGCACAATAGATAGTAGCAGTAGAAAAACAAATTTTCCAGTATGGACCTACTTTGTGCTCTTGCAGCTTCAGTGAGACCAACAGCCTGAACACACAAAATATTGACAATAACAGAAACACTGGGAGATCCAGAAAGTGTCTGAGAAGACACTGTACTTCCCCCCTTTTTCTAGTACGGGTTCTGGATTAATTGCATCATTGAATCATTGATACTATGGTCCTTGCTGTAGTGGAAGTGGCTGTGGTTCCTATTATCCCACCTGGAGCATCCTAGGTGAAATTCCCTTGAAGGCAAGGAGGAGCCTAGTTGGCCAATGTGAGAAACAATGTGTTGCACTAAACTGAAAACTGATCAAAGATCATGAGTCTACTCCTGTGTTCTTCTGATGATTGTATTAGTATGTGGCTAATAATTGCCCCTACAGGAACAAAAACTAACACAAGGATGGGGCATGTTTGCCCCCCACCACCACCACAGATGTTGTTAGACTCTAGTTTCCATCAGGCTTAGCCAGCATATCTAATGGAGAGGGATAGTGGAGTTGTAATCCAACAATCCTTGGAGGACCACCTGTTTCCCTTCTCTTCTTTAAGCACAATGGTAGCTAGGTATGTTTAGGCTAGAGAAGACTAAGCAGTGATATGACAGCCATCTTTAATCTGAAGGGATGTTATGCAGAAGATGGGGTGAGCTTTTTTTTCTGCTAGGACATGGAGTAAGGGATTCAAATTACAAGGGAAAAGATTCCACATAAACATTAGGAAGAACTGCCTAATGTTTAGGAAGAACTGTAAGAGCTATCCAACAATGGAATAGACTGCTTCAGAAGGTGATGGGTGGAGGCCTTTAAACAGAGGGTGGATGGTCATCTTTTGAGAGTGCTTTAGTTGTATATTTCCACATGGCAATGAGTTGGACTAGATTGCTTTTGTGGTACCTTCCAGCATTATGATTCAATTATTATATAATCTGAAGAAATGCACCCAGAATATTATATTATTCTAAAGTGGCCATGTGTTCTACTTTACAGAGGACAGATCTTTGTTGGAAGGGCTAGTTTGTCAAAATCCTGACAGCCATAAGAAGGAAAAGCAGGAATTGGCCCTGAACTTACCCATGGTGTGATAACACTTATCCCTAAATGCAATCACAAATCTCAATTTAAGTAGATCCACTGACTCAATGAGAATTTGGTCAATCAAGTTCTCATTGGTTTGGGGTGGTGAAAGTGTGTGTAGGCCAGGGATAGGCAACCTTTCCCCTTTAAGGGCCGAGGGACTTCAGCTCCCAGAATCCCAGGAGCTATTGGCCAACATGGGACTATTGGCCAACATGGCTGAGGCTTCTGGGAGCTGAAGTCCCTCGGCCCTTAAAGGGGAAAGGTTGCCTACCCCTGGTGTAGACCTTGGCCAGAAAATTGAGGAGCGAGCCCCCCATAGGTCACTTTGGTCATAGTTTTATCCACTAAGGTGAAATGTTTTGTATTTTTCATTAAATCATTTCTAAATTTGTATCTGTGCATTGAGCCTAAGTAAATCTAATACTTTGCAGGACATTTCCTCCTTTTGTCAACGCGTAAGTTGCAATGCATCTTATATAAAGAGGCCCTAAGCTGGACAAATAAAAGAACTAGTATGATCCTGTAGTGCTTTTTCTAAACATGTCAGTTTAGGAACATTCAATTCTCATTTCATCCAGAAGTTGTTTCTACAGCTGATTCAACCAGGGATGTGGTGATAAAATGTGAAGAACACGTCTTTACCAGGATAGTCCATAGAGCAAGAGTAGGCAACCTTTCTCCTTTAAGGGCCGAGGGACTTCAGCTCCCAGAAGCCTCAGCCATGTTGGCCAATAGTCCCATGTTGGCCAATAGCTCCTGGGATTCTGGGAGCTGAAGTCCCTTGGCCCTTAAAGGGGAAAGGTTGCCTACCCCTGCCATAGAGTAACAGCCACACAGAGACTAAGGGTGGCTGTACTAATCTAAAAGCATTTCTCGTAGTTTGCATCTTAACTGAGAAGGAGTCTTTTGTAAAGCTGTCTCAAACATACCCTCCAACTGTCCTGATTTGGAACAGTCCTGATTAATCTGTTGTCTAATTTTTTCACCTGTTTTTAAAATGTCCCAGTTTCTCTCTCATCCTCCCAATGTTCCCCTTTCTCTTCAGTTTACTTCCATTGGTGTAATCTGAGTTCAAAGTACAAAAGTCATTTGCGCTCAACTAATTCAGCAGTGAGAAAGCAAGTATGGTTTAGTGGTTTGAGCATTAGACTAGGACTCTGGAGAACAGGGTTCAAATCCCTGCTTCGCCATGAAGACCGACTGGATGACCTTGGGCAAGTCACAGTCTTTCAG